CACGGTATCGTCAGAGATACTTGGACTTGATCCTGAATGACTTTGTAAGGCAGAAATTTATCATCCGCTCGAAGATCATCACATACATAAGAAGTTTCTTGGATGAGTTGGGATTCCTGGAGGTGACGGAGAGTTCCTTACCTAACATGACGAGCCTGTCTTTCACTATTCCTTCCCTTTCCTTTTCCAAGGCGTATCCTGTGTCAGTATCTTTCATGCTTAATGAAAAGTCTCATTTCTTGCCAGTGCCTTTGTTCCACTTGTTTATTTGGTGCCCTGATTAGGAAGGCAGGACCTGACTTCCAAGATAACGGGCAAAGTGTAGGGCCATCAACACATTGAACATGGATGACATCATTAGCATGTAATCAGCTCATTTTGCTTTTTTGTAGCATAAAAAAAAGTATGAAACAAGTGAGTGCATATTACTGTAAAACAAATTCAAATAAAAAGCAAAACTGAAAGTCCCCTTTCATTTCTCCCAACTAACTTCCTTCCATAAACTTAATGGTATGTCTCCTTCACACCATTTATTATGTATACATACATATATACCTATACATGTTGCAGATGGGGTACACTTGTAAATATTTTGGATGGGTTTTATTTTTTGCTTTAAATATAAATGAGGTCACGGTGTGTGTGTTATGATGGACTTGCTTGCTTTTTTTTTCCACTTTTTTTCAGTTAGAGCCCTTTCTGGTTGTGTTTGTGTGTGCATATTCATTTTTAATGCTGCCTAATTTTATTTTCCCTATTAATAATTTAGGTTTGTGATTTTGTATGCTTTATGAACATCTTTGTACTTATGTGCAATTGTTTAGGGTGGATTTCTAGAAGTAGAATAAGTTAAAGGACATGAGCAGTTAACATTTTTAATAAATACTGCAACTTGATATTTGTTTGGTATTAACAGAAATTGAGACATTACCCTAGAAAGTCAAGCTATCTCTGCTTTTTTGTCAAGCATTGCACATTATTATTGAACTTAACTTTTATTTGGGGATAACAGGCTTAAGATATATCACATGCAAAGCATGAGCTATCCCCGAGGTCTCTGGTTTAAGGGCCTCTGAGGACTAAATATTTCTCCCTTTCTTTTAGATTGAAACTCCCATGATGAACATCATCCCAGGCGGAGCTGTGGCCAAGCCTTTCATCACCTACCACAATGAGCTGGACATGAATTTATATATGAGAATAGCTCCGGAACTGTACCATAAGGTAATCAGTAAGAAGATGCCCTGTTTCCTTAGAGAAGCAGAAAGCTGGAGAACCATTGGCTAGGTAGGTAGGTACAGGCAGAAATATGAGCAACAGTGAGGATAGCACAGCCAGGAGAGTGTTCTGATTGGTCAGACTTGTGAGTGTCACACCTCTAGAGTTTCTCTATAAAATCCGTACAGCAGTGTATGGCAGAGGGTAAAGGGATTGTCATTCCTTGGTATGCAGATCCTACTAACCTATTTTGATTTCCTTAATACTTAAGTTTATAGTCCCTCCTTGGATTAGATCTGATTTTAGACTTTTGTAGAAGAAAGACCTTCACCTCTGTCTGGAAGTTGGAAATATCCTCAAATAACCAGAATAAATATTGAAGACTGCCACTCAAGATTCTCAGCTGCAGACAACAGAACCTGTTATGACTAATTTAAGCAAAAGCAAAGTGTATTCAAATAATGTAAATAAGGAAGCTCACAGTTTCCAAGAGGATCAGATAATAAGCTTGGAGACCACACAACTAGGAATTGTTCTGAGTCACATCACTGGGCTGTTGCTATGGAGAACCAGTATCTTTTCCACCTTGGACAGTTACCACAGCTCATAACTCCAGCACAGGGCACAGGTCATTTACATTAGGACCCCTGCAGTTACTACCTCTAAAGACTAGATATCTCTGACTCCCTTCACCAGGAAGAATTCTGTGCAATATTTACATCTTCTTTCAGTAGCTTCCATGATGAAGTCCCACAGGTGTGTGTGAGTGGTGGGGCACTTGGGTCATGTGCCTGCATCCCAATCCCAAGAGAAGCTTCTTTCTTGGGGGGCTCACACTCACAAGCTGGAGGACACCCCAAAGTATTCCCGAGTCCTGGGCAACCAAAGTAAGTGGACTGTCCACTACAAAGAGCTAAAAAGAGTATACTGAGTCTTTGTTAGAGAAAGTGGGCCTGAGCTGTGAAAACCAAGTTACAGCTTTTATAGACAGAAACTTTTCACAGCCATGGAGACAAGACTGGTCGCTGTGACCAGGCCATGTTGTTACTAGATGCTGGTGGTTGGTGGCATTGACCGGGTATATGAAATTGGACGTCAGTTCCGGAACGAAGGAATTGATTTGACTCACAATCCTGAGTTCACCACCTGTGAGTTCTACATGGCCTATGCAGACTATCACGATCTCATGGAAATCACAGAGAAGATGATTTCAGGTGACCCCTCCCTTTGTTTTTCACACGTCTGAAGGGCTGGTGTACTGCTTCTAGGAGGTCTTCCTGTTGGCTACTTTAAATGATAGATTTCTTTCCCAGGAATGGTGAAGCACATTACAGGCAGTTACAAGGTCACCTACCATCCAGATGGCCCAGAAGGCCAAGCCTACGAGATTGATTTCACCCCACCGTTCCGGAAAATCAGCATGGTAGAAGAGCTTGGGAAAGCCCTGGGGGTGAAGCTGCCAGAATCTAACCTCCTTGAAACTGAAGGTAAAGTGATGCATTTCTCCAGCATATGGCCCTCCTTTCTGGTCAGCGCTGACTTAGATTAGGTCAGGGCTAGAATCTCCCACACTGTTCTCTTTATATATTTTTTTTACCTGGATAATGCGATGTCTTCTGCACTAATGTGTACATTCATGTTACAGAAACCCGCAAAATTCTTGATGATATCTGTGTGACAAAAGCTATTGAATGCCCTGCACCTCGAACCACAGCCAGGCTGCTTGATAAGGTAAAAGACCATATGCTTTTAGTACCGGCCCTCATCCAGTGGTGACCAGCCCGCTGCTCCCACTGAAGGTTTACTCCACTGTGGGGAACTAACTTGTACAGAAGCTTCACAGGAAAGCCCTAAAGAGGGAAATAAGAGAATTAACAAGTTTTGAACTCCTGCTGTACTAAGCTCTGTGCCAAATCATTGTGTGTGTTAACTCATTTAATTCTTACCAGCCATTGGAAAGCTTAGGATAAACCCCTGTAGCATCAGGCGTGGGTTGGAGATGCTCCTCTTCCACCAAGACTGTGTCAGTCAAACTGCCGTCCGGAAGAGCTCTCCAGCTGTGCTCTGCTTTCTCCTCAAGCTTGTCGGGGAATTCCTGGAGGTGACATGCGTCAACCCTACATTCATCTGTGACCACCCGCAGATCATGAGCCCTCTGGCCAAATGGTAAGATAGAGCATGGTGTTTCCATTACCTGTTGCTGTGTAACAGTCTCAAAACTTAGTGACATGAAACAGTTGACCAATTCCCAAGATTTTGTGGGTTCAGTGAGTAGTCTTTTAAGTTCTACATCGTGCCGGCTAGGATAACGCAAGTGGCTTTTTCCAAGTGGGAACTCTGCCAGGGCACTTTGCCCCTCGTCCACATGGGATCTCCTCCTCCATAGCCCCTTCATGTGGCCTCTCTCTCTGGCAGCACAGCCTGGCTTCCTTACATAGTGGCTCAGTTGCAAGTAGAAGCATTCCAAAAGAATCGGCCCCACTGTGCAAACATATTTAACCTCTGTTGATGTTCCATTGGCCAAAGCAAGTCATATGGGCAGCCCAGAGTTACTGTGACAGAAGGGCATGAATACAGGAGGTATGGTTCAGTGTAACAGTCTACCACAAAGGTTTCTTGTGGAGGTAACTAAAGCCTCTGTCTCTCTAACCGTCCTCACTGTTGCACCAAACAATTTGGTGCTGAGAATGTGAACAGGCTTCAGGTCACAATCAATAACACTTCTAAGTTGACTAGAATGTAGGACTCCTGTGTTTGTACCAGATGTTATTAGCAAACTTGTATGTTCAGCGTCCCCTTCGGTCTCCTGTTCCAGGCACCGCTCTAAAGAGGGTCTGACTGAGCGCTTTGAGCTATTTGTCATGAAGAAGGAAATATGCAATGCCTACACCGAGCTGAACGACCCCATGCGACAGCGGCAGCTTTTTGAAGAACAGGCCAAGGTAAGGAAGGAAGAGCAACAAAGTCCTCTATTTATTCAGTGTCCCCACTGATCAGGAAATACCAGCCTTAGCCCTGGTCTATGTCATTGGCTACATCTCTTGGTCATTTCAACAGAAATGAAAGAGAAAGCCACAGACTTTACTGGAGGAAGTCACATTCCAAGATAAAGATCTTGAGTAGTTTTGGCCCTAGAATTTCTCTATAAGAGAATGATTATCTGTGAGGGGAATGTGACACTTGTCCTAAAAATACATTTGCCTCACAAAAACATAACTCTTCTTAGATGGTATTTTTATTGAGGTGGACAGGTAAAGATGAAAGAAGGCAAAGCCCCCACAGGCCGCCAGCACTGGCACTGCCACTGTTGGGTAGTTTGAGGAAATGGGAAAAAGATTGCTGGGAATCAGAGTCTCTGAAAGTCAGCCTCACTGGCCTCACAGAGCCCAGCAATGAAGGCGTTTTCATTTCACAGAGGAATTTGCACATGTTCTGAGGTGGAGTTCATCAGTTCTGACCTCCAGGTCTTTCAGAGAAATGCTCCATCCTGAAGTTACTGGGAAACAATTCCCTACAAGTGCTGGGGTCCAGAGCATCCCTCGAATAGTAAGCCCTCTGAACGTTCGGACTTGCTCATGCAGACGCTGGGACGCTGCAGCCTGAACGGTGTTGGTGTTTTGGTTCTCTCCTAGGCCAAGGCTGCTGGCGATGATGAGGCCATGTTCATAGATGAGAACTTCTGCACCGCCCTAGAATATGGGCTGCCCCCCACAGCCGGCTGGGGCATGGGCATCGACCGTGTCACCATGTTTCTCACAGACTCCAATAACATCAAGGTGCACTGTGGCCCACGGTGGGGAGCGCCGTGTGGGGTGGGGCAGGCAGAGCGGTTAAACGCTGCTCCTCAGGACGAGGATCAGAGTGTCTGGCCTTAGGTGGTTTGGGTTTCTTCTCCCTGAGGCAGAAAGAATACTAATTGTTTACATTTCTTGAGGATCCAAGGACATACTGAGCCCTCTCTGTGCATTATCACATGTAAGTTAAGTCAGCCCTGTGAGGTGTAGAAACTTATCCCATTTTTATAGATGAGGAAATCATATTTTAAGAGAACCTCTGTGTTTCTTCATTCTTTTTCAACATCATGCCCCAGGCAGTGCTGTCATTTATTTCCATCCTCAGTAATTGAGAGGGACTGAGGTGAAGTAAAAGAACACAGATCTTTGGATTTTAGCGGTATCAGTAACCAGAGGCAGAAGGACTGGGTGGACAGCTGTGAAAAACTAGATGGCTTCTTCACTTCAAAATGCGTTTTCTTTCCAATAGGAAGTCCTGCTGTTTCCTGCCATGAAACCTGAAGACAAGAAGGAAAGTGTAGCAACGACTGATGCATTAGAAAGCACGGCAGCTGGCACTTCCAGCTAGAAAGGAATAATTAATGGCAAGTTGTGTAACTCAGGTATCTTTGCATTTCTGCAAAAGATCAAGGACTGCAAGGGAATTCTTGGGTATTGCTATCCATTTGACTACCACAGTTCAGCTCAGCCACCAGAGGAGAAGAAGAATTAAGAATTCCTTTTTATTCCTTACTACAAAATAAACCATTTGTCTGTACTCTTGTCTCAGTACTCTCTTTACCTTTGGGGTATCAACTTTCCCTCAGACAGCCGGCCTAATGAATGTTTATAATTACACTACTTTATTCAACAAACACATTAATGTGTGCTCTGTGGCAGGCATTCTTCTAAAGGATTGGGGGACACAGCAGCAAACAGAAGGCAAGTCCCTGCTTTCATGGAACTTAATTTCTTTCTTGAGAGGCAACTACACAACAAGAAGTAAATACATATTATTTCTGGTAGGGGTACATACTAAAAAGAATAAATAGAGTAGGGGGCAGAGGTGCTGTTTTAGAAAGAGATGGCTGAGGACAGTGCTGTTAATATGTGATCTGGGAAGGCCAATCTTAACTGACATTTGGGTAGAGATCTGGAGACAAGGAAATCTGATCATACTTGAGCAGTAAAGGGTCTGGTCTGGCTGGGAAGAACTAAGCAAAGGTCAGCAAGGGGGCAGATCACACAGGCCCCACCGAGCCATGTAGGGGAGTAAGACAGGAAGCCATTGGAGGGTTTTGAGACGTGCTTTTAAAGGTGTTTTAGGTGGAGGGCAAGAGTGAAAGGGAGACTGGTTCAGCTGTTGCAGCAGGCTGGAGAAAGGATGGCTGAGACTTGGGTGGTTTGAAGTAGTGGAGATAGTTACAAGGCACTGGGCTTTGTGTTCTCCAAGGTTGACAATTAAGACGATCAGATGTGGGATGTGAGAAAAAGACAAATTTCAAGATCTGGGGCCTGAACAAGCAAAAAGCAGAGTAGTTTAGTTTACTGAAATGCAAAACCAGGATGTACAGGTTTGAGAGGGAAGGTTGAGCATTTGGTTTGGATGCAGTAAATTTGACATGCCTGTTACACATTGGGTGGGAACAGTAAGATTGCTGAACAGTGAGTTTTCTCACCAGCTCAATTCAAATGGACTACAAATGTGACAAGAGTCTGGCTGAAGGCCTGCCCTTAAAATGGAGCCCCAGCTTCCTGACAGGGAGGCAGCTGGAGAAACCTTTTTCCTGATGAGTCACACAGCAAAGGACTTACCTTCCAACCTCAGCAGAACCTCTGCAAACATCCCAATTTGTGAGTTGGCAGTCTGCACTCCCACAAGCAGGTTCCTATTTCTCTAGCAGCTCAAATGATCCAAGCCTGCAGAATTACCCAACTGGGAGCTACATCAGGAAGCATTGAGCATCTTCAACCCTGGCTGGCGTTTAAGCATAAGCTCCAGGAGCACTTGGCAACAGTGGTAGATGACCAGGTGGTATTTCAGAAGAAACACTTCCTATGGCACATCTTCAGCAAGGTGGTGGTAACTGAAATGAGAACAATCACCTCTAGATCATTCTGGTCACATACCTCAAGGTGTACTGTCAAGGTAAAGGACTGGACTTCAGGCAAAACTGTCCATGGACCACTCGAAAATGCAACAAGTAATGAGGTCACAAATAACCTTTAAAGAGCTGGTTAGTAGTAGGCTGGGGCAGAAGCCAGTTTCCTGGCCTCAAGGAGGCTAGGGATGGAGATGAACTGAAGCAGCACTAGACAACTTGTTTGTGGAGCTTGACAGGAAAAGTGACAGGATGAAAGCTAGAAGAAACACAAGTATTATTAAGTCCTCATTACCTCAGAGTTGAAGGCTCACAATTCACCAACAGCTGGTATTGGAGTGGGCAGAAAGGCATGGTCCCAAGCTTCATCAGGCTTCTAGACTTGTAAGGAAAAGAGGCACTTAATCATTCAGAAAAAACTATAAATGCTTTGAAGGAAAGGACCGTGGAGTATTGAGAGACTCTTAACAGACCTAGTTAGAGGTTTCCCTGAAGACCTGAGATCTGAGATCTGAAGGAAGATAGAGCATTAGCTAGTCAAAGAAGAGGAAGGGCTTACCCTGGTATGGCAACAAGCACAAAGGCCCTGAGACAACAAAGGGCGTGGAGAGGGTCAATGATACTAGATAGAATACAGCTACCCAAAGAAATATGCCACCAGATGAAACAGGCTGTGAGCTCTGCTATGGGATTTTGTCTGCATTTTAACAATGCTGGGTAGCCACTGAAGTATTTAAGCAGGGGATATACATCACATTGGCATTTTGAAAACATCAGTCCAACCGCTCTGTGAAAAAGAAGTGGAGTTGGGCAAGAAAAGATGGAAGTCCAGAGGTTAGCAGAGCAATCCAAGAGGGAGATGATAGTGGCTTGGACTAGGATATTCCCCTGGAAATGGACAGAAGTGGATGGACTCGAAAGATAGGAAGTAAGACTAACAAGACTAATGGATTATGTTGCGGGGGTTAAGGGAAAGGAAATGACAAGATAGTGACTCACTTTTCAGTTTATGCAACTAGATTGATGGTGGTGCCAATCCCTGAGATAACCCTGGAAGACGATTTCCCCCACCAGGATCAGAGCTTTAAAGACAGAAGAGGGAGTCAGTTGCAGGTCAAAGGTTTTGGAGAGAGAGGAAGAGCAGGGTCCTTAGCCTTGGACGAAATCTGTGAACCTTTCCCTCTGAACTAGAGAGAAGGATGGATCAAGTACTTTGCACTTCTTTCTCCTCTAACTTTTTAGGAGTAACGAGAGAAAAAAATGAAATCTCTCATCTTTAGGAATTGAGGTATACAAGTGCTGGATTGTACAAGCTCCTGAACCCTATTCCTGGCAATCTGAAGATTTTAGATCCACAGCCACCAGCCAAACGTGGCTACTGAGCATTTGAAATGTGACTGGTCCAAATTGAGATGTACTTACTGTACGTGTAAAGTACACACCAGATTTCTTAAGCTTAGAATGAAAAACAAAACGTAAAATACCTCAACATTTCTTTTAAAATACTGACCACACGTTGAAATATAGTTTGGATATACTGGGTTAAATAAAATATGGGATTAAAATTAATTTCACCTTTTTTTTTTTGACTTTTAGAAAGGTAGCTACTAAAACATTTTAAATTACCTATCTGACTCGAATAATATTTCTATTGCACCGCTCTGTTTTAGGAATTCAAACTAGCGTTCCAACGTACGGCGTCATTCTGTTGGAATTATATCTCACCGGGGCCAGCTTCCATCAGCCCACCTCACGGGTACCTATGCATCGCGCCGCAGGCCGCTGGGCGATAAGTACCTGCACCCTACCCCTGGGCTCCGCTCCCGAAGGACTACAAGGGCCAGCGTGCACCGCGCGCCCCTGGGGGCGGGGCTGAAAGCGCAGCTTCCGTGTGACGTCACGTCCCCTGCGCCGCGCGGTTCTGCCGGCTCTCTCCGATGGTGAGCGCTGTAGAGGTGGGAGGGTTGCGTCCGTGAGGAGGTGGGGTCGCGGGTCCGAGCGTGCGCAAGTGAAGGGGGGCCCCCAGGGACACCTGGTGAGCTTCCCGAGCCCGGCTTCCCCGAGCCCACTTTGTGTGGGAAGAGAATCTGCGCACCGTGCCGCTCCGACGCGGGTCTCGTAGGAAGATACTGTCCCGTGTCCACTGCGTGGGGAGCGTGTGGCCCGGCAGCAGCTTCCCGCGTCACCGAGGAGGCCGGCGCGCACGCTGTGCCTGCTTCACGGGCCTAGAGGCTCCTGCAGCCGGGGCTTTAGAGACGGGTGTGGAGGAAGGAGCCTAGGGGAAGTAGGCCTTCCTTCCGACCCCGGCAGCCAACCGCCTTATCTGTTCTTTGAAAAGGATGTAGATTTTGAAGCTCTTTGCAACTATTAGAACGTGCGGTCTTGTGGGCAAAGTAATGCCTGTTTAACTGAGCTGTTGTTCCGTATGAAGAAGTTATTCAACATCTAGGAGACAGTGGATTTGAATTTTAGTAGGCCAATATAGCAAAAACAGTTAATTCAACTACTGTGGACACTCACCAGACTCAACCACGATGAGGTGATCATACGGTTCTGGGCTGCTTCATCTTAGGGAGTCAACGTTTCTTCACGTTCTGTCTTCTTTGGCTATTATGGTTTGTAATGTGCGCCTCTGGCTTAATTACAGGTTGGTGCCAGAGTATTTGCCTTCATAAAATATACCTCCTTGTGATTCCCCTAGGAATGGAAGAGAGAGCCATACGGAGGATTCTAGGCTCTCCCATGCTTTTCCTTTGCTCCAAGAGATACAAAATTTACGCTGGTTCTCTGACTTAGAAGTCACAATTTACATCAGTGCCTGCCAGGTTCTTCTTTTAAATCTTAGTCGGATTTCCCATCATCATTTATTGCAATAACAGGCCTATACATCGCAACTCTTAAAAGAAACAGAGCATTTTAAATTTTTAAGATTTTATTTGGTCAAAAATCCATGCTAACTGGGCAACACCGAATCCGAAGTGGTTAGAAGCACTTGGCAGGTTGGAGCTAGGGGAAAGAGAGAGAGAGTGCAAAGGCAAGAAGGGAAATTATTTGATTGGCTATAGCTTAAAGCCTAGTTGGCTATTTGTGATTAGTTATCATTAGTGCTATGATTTGGTAAACTTAAGGCATTTACAGGCTTAGATCTTGGTTTCCTTAGGCCACCGCAGCCTTAGAGCCACCTCAGTGTAATGGCCTCCTTGTTTAATTAATTTAACACAATACGAAGTGGGGGTGGAGGTGGACTCACTAGAAATATCTGTTTTCAGAAGCAACATGCATTTAGTGCTCAGTAAAGCCTTTTTTTTTTAACATTACCTACATCCATCATATGATCTCATATGATCTCATTTCCTGCTAAGAAGTTTTTCATACATTTGAGTGTAAATGAGGTCATTGAATGAGCATCCACAGAGCCGAGAGTGGGAGAGTTTCTAGCAAATAATTGTGATGTGTGCCTCTGGCTTAATTTCAGGTTGGTGCCAGAGTATTTGCCTTCATAAAACATACTACCTCGTGATGCCCTCTAGAAATGGGAGGGAGAGCCAAATGGAGGAGTCTAGGCTCTTTCAGGTCTGATCTGCTTAATGGCTTTTTATTCGTGGCTTACATGCGATATCCGGTCCCCTAAGGAGCTTCAGGCAGATCATTTAGGGAAATCAAATACTCTTTTTTTGTATTTCTAATCACATTGGTATTAATTATGCTCAACACTGTAGCAGTCGCTGTTTATAAATGTTTAATCCTTACAGTAACCCCATTGATTAGCTACTACCATTAGCCCTAATTTAACAGATGAAGAAACAGACACACACAGGTTAAGTAATCTACCCAATATCACAGTTAACTTGTAGCTAAACCAGAATCAGAACCCAGAAAGGTAACCCCAAATCCCACACTCCAGCACAACCCCTATGAGGAAGAGAGCCCTAGACACTTGCCTGGTGAGAAATTTCTGGACTCCATTACTTCTCCCTTCTGTGTCCTAAAACATAGAAGAAATTAAAGAGATGCTTTCCTGATGGGGGAACTGGGGAAGATTTACTAGACAGAGGTAAAGAACCAATCTGCTGTGGGGGAAAGAAAAAAATAATAAAAGGACTGAAAAAGAAGATGGAAAAGAAGATCTACCCAGAAAGCTAAACCTTGTACGTGAGAGCCTGCTCAAAGTTAGCAGAGGTCTGCAGCCCTTTGCATGCTATTTCCAAATGAAAACGAGTAGTGAAGATAACTTCACTCTTGTGCTTTCGTTTTGAGTACTAAATTCAGATTCATTAGAAACATGTCAGATACCCAACATTAGAAAAAAACACAGCTTAAAGAAATAGGATGTCTTTTGGAGTTGGTAGGATTTTCCCCTAAAAATGAAAAGGGACAGGGAAGTAGTAGAAAATGGCCAGAGTTTCATATAGAAAAACCGCAGTAGGAAGTAATTGGTTACATCTGAAAGCCTATTGAAGCACTGGTGCAAGGTAGTAGCATTTCACGTTGGGTGTAAGGTTCTCTCTGTACTTCTGATAGTTGCGGTTTTTTATCAGGGCCTCTGCACCAGCTCAGACCATGTGGACTGCGAATGAGATTGCAAGGCTGTGTTATGAGCACTATGGGGTCAGGCTGCCCAAGCAGGGGAAACCTGAGCCCAACCGCGAGTGGACTTTATTAGCAGCTGTGGTGAAGATCCAACGCACAGCTGACCAGGTCTGTGACTGCCCTGACAAACCACAGCAAGGTGAGACCTTTTCTCCTTGGAGCGCCCCCCTCTCCCTGCCGGAGATGATAGAATCTTACATGGCTATGCAGGGACAGTGGTTTCCTGGAGTAAACGGCCATGTTAGGCGTGTCCCCCTGCTCTCCGCCAGGTGGCGCAGTACTGCCGGTGGTGGGAGGTGGCCAGGCCGGAACCGCGGTGCTAGGTCAGCAGTGGGAATGCACTGGAGCAATGTGCTGACTTACTGTTCTTTTCCCCCTCAGTAACGAGAGAAGTTGTCTCAATGGGAACAGGAACAAAATGCATAGGCCAGTCCAAAATGAGGAAGAACGGTAAGCCCTGGTGTCTAAACAACACCTGTCTAGGGAACTTTGAAAGTTGGTGTGTGTTGGCCTTTGCTCTTCTCTTAGGGCAAAGAAGCCGTATCACTAAGGTGGCCAACCTTGCGACTGACTGTCACTCCAGCTGGAAGGACGGAACTCATTTAAAAAATGAAAATAAACTGGAAGCAAAGGCCACCAAGAACATGTTTTTTGTTGTTGCTATCAGTGGATTTGCATTTTTTATTTTTATTTTTTTATTGAAGTATAGTTGATATACAATATTATATTGGTTTGAAGTATACAATATAGTGATCCAACAGTTATATACATTATTAAATCCTCACCCCAGCTAATGTAGTTACTGTCATCACAGATGTTCCAGAACCATTGACTATATTCTCTATGCTGTGCAACAAAAACATGTTTTTGAGCGGATTGAAAGTTGGCCAGTACTTGCATGCTCAAACCAACAGTTCCTGGGGCTTGGCTATTCCACAGTTTCTCTGAAGCCCCAGAAAGCACCTTTAAATTAAATTGAGATTTTGTCACCAAAAAGTATATGGCAGTCCCATAGCCATCTGGCTTCCTTGCCTTCTGCTTCCAGTTAAGCAGAGTCTTGGTTGAGTTTGCTTCCCCCACTCCCCGGGCCTTGCCTCCTGCACATGAGCAAGCTGTTCTAGGACCACTGTGGGCTGAATTCGACGGAACTGAGCACGAGTGTGACACCAGGGCACAAAAGATCTGGACCCCTGTCCCCCTGATAAGGATTTCCCTGTAAATCAGTAGTTCTCAGCTAGGGGAGATTTTACCCCCTAGAGGACACTGGCAATGTCTGGAGACTTCTAGGGTTGTCACAACTGGTGGGGAGGGAGGGAGCAGGGGCATATGCTACTGGCTTCTAGTGAGTAGAGGCCAGGAACCCAGGAAAGCTGCTAAACATGCTAAAATGCACAGGACAGATTCCCCCAACAAAGAATTTTCCAACCAAAATGTCAATAGTGCTGAGCTGAGGAAACCCTGCTGTAAATGCATTGCCATTAATGATGGTGATTCTTTCTGGCAAAGCCCTCCGAGAGCTCCTTTGCCATCCTGAAGGTTGGGGAAAACTGCTGGGCTTTTCTTCTGGGAGTCAGAGTCTCTCCAGGTTCACGTGTCTTCATTAGTGTCCCGTCTTTGCCACAGGAGACATCCTCAATGACAGCCATGCTGAGATCATAGCCAGAAGGAGTTTTCAAAGGTAAAACCACATCCCCAGAGGGTCTGACTTAGCCTGGGGTGGGGACCCCAGAGTTTGCCTTTCTAATAGTCTCCCAAGTAACACTGGTTATTCAGCCTGTGAACTACACTTTGAATAACACTGGTCTAGACAGTGGTTCTCATGCTTGAGTATATATCAGAATCCCCCAGAGGGTTTGTTAGGATTATCAGATTGGTAGGCCCACTCACAGTGATTCTGATTCTGCAGGTCCAGAGTAACCTGAGATGTTGCAGTTCTAACAAATTCCAGACGATGCTGTACTGGTTCAGGGACCACACTTAGAGAATCTGTGGTGTAGAGCATTCTCATCACAGCAAATCACCTCCATCCCATTGGTCTGCAGGAATTTTTCTTCTTAGTAATCCCGCAACCAGTCTTTCCCTTTTCCGCAGAGATTGGTGGTTCATTCTGGTAACATCCTGCACCCCATTAGGTACCTTCTCCGTCAGCTCCATTTGGCAGCCGCCCTGGAGGAGGATAGTATCTTTGTCCCAGGGACTCAGAGAGGACTGTGGAAACTCAGACCAGACCTCTTGTTTGTGTTTTTCTCCAGCCATACTCCCTGTAAGTATGTTCAAGCCTTTGGATTATTGTTGTATTGTCTGCTTCCTTATGTTTGTCTTACCCATAGATCTGTTTCTCAGGAAAGCACTCCTGCCTGAAATGTAGCTAAAAGTGAAGTCAGCGCCTTTTTGTGGACAGACCAGTGTGCTTAATCACTTCCCTAGCAAGGGGAGGTGAGTGAGAGAGCGGCCGCACTAGAACTGTTTTTCAGTTCTCAGTTCCCAGTCAGGATTGGGAAGTTTAAAGCTGAAACCCCACAGGTCTAAAATCAATAATAGGGCTTAGAAGTCCAAGTCCCTGAGTTCTATAGTAATTTATCCTGAAACTCGTTTTATTCATTCATTAAGCAAATATTTTCTCCTACTTGTCAGGCACAGTAAGACTAGCTCCTTGCTTACTCTCGTAGAGTCTTTTACGGAATGTAGACAGTCATACTTAGTTAAGTTTTGGTGTTATAAGAGATAGTCAGATGCTGTGGTTGGTTAGGCAGGAAGACCAGACCTAGTCTAGGGGCGATTTCTGTCCTTTGTTTTTCTGGCTTAAAAATTGAAAATAATTTCTTCCCTTTGTAGACAACAACTTAGGGATAGCTGTAAGTTTTTCTAACCCTAAAATCTTTGAAATAAGGATATAAGATTGTTCTGAGTATCAAACTTTAAAACTAACATTTGTAATTAGAGCAGAGCTAGATAATCACTCTAAAGAGACAGAATAACTGTGAGGACTTGATCATAACTCAGTAATATAATGTAGCATAAGAAAGAGTGAGTCTATTGGAAAAGAGTTGGTTAAGAGTCAAAGGCCAGAAAAATGACATACAGAGGCAGGCAAGGCTCATCTGTGCTCTGTTCTTAACACCGGTACCTTTGTCCAAGCACCAAAGGATATTTTCTAACTCTGCTTCTCATATGAGTCACCCAGGGGGCTTGTTAAAAGACAGCTTTAAATTTGGTGGGTCTGGAGTGGAGCCTGAGGTTCTGCATCTCTAACCAGCTCCCTGTATGGCAGTGACGTTGGCCTGCGGGCCACACTTGAAGTAGCTGGAGCCTGGTGGATTCCAGTGGCAGGTGTGGCCTTATTGTGGAGACACACATCAGCAGCCAGCCTGACCACCAGTCAAACCCAAATCAATGGTCCGAGGCTGGCGGTACTCTGGGAGAGTGTACTGGTCTATGGCCAGATGAGAAAAATCAGGACTGTGTAGTGAGTTTTTTAAAAAAAGCTAATTTCTTGCCATGAAAAGTAATGATATTGTTGTCTTTTTTTAATTAAAATGGTAATTAGTATTGTTAAAGCTCTTACTTGATGGAATAAAAAGTGGTGAACCCTCTGTTAATTATAAAATCTTCTGGAAATTTTTTGTAACCACTGATATTAACTCCCCTAGTTCATTGGTAGTCTTTTAAAATGCGATGTCCACCCATGGTTTGTCTGCAAGAAGAAAGAACGCTACCTACAGAATGTGACTATTGGCTCCCTGGGCAATTCTTCCTCATTGCTAATTGATCATTCAGTACCTGGGTGAGCTCAGACTCTTACTTGTGAGTTTTATCAGCATAAGTCAGCCTCTCAAGTTCAGCCTTCTTGTCAAGATTAAATCTCCAAGCCTTCAGAGTGGGAGGCAGGTCCCTGTGAGTTCTGCAAAGTCACTGTCACCTTGTGCAGTGTCTGGAAATCAGCCAGCCAACCTTTTTGGCAACATTCCCCTTCTATATCTCTTGCCTTTCCCACTCTTAGGTTATAAAGGATACAGATGTATTATTTACGCACTTTAGAAAAGCAACACTCACTATCTTAGTGTTTGGAGAAGTAGCTCCCTTCTTAAGGGGAAGCTGTGCTTTTTACTGACCTCTAGTTTTCTTTGATTTTCTGTAAGCCCAGAGTGGGTCAGAAATGTCTAAACCACCAAAGGGAAATACCAGTTGTGGGGTTTACTGAAGAGTCTTTACTGTGAGGATATGCACAGAAATGTCCAATATGGGGTAATTGTGAGCATTGTTTGCCAAACTTAAGCATGAAATCAACCATCCACTTTTGTTCTCCAAGGCATCTTAATGGGATGACATTCCACAAAATGTACTTGGGAAACTGTGTTCATTGTAAACCACTGGTTTCTCAGCTCAGGATGATTTTGCTTCCCAGGGGACATTTGGCAACTGGACATATTATTGATGGTGTCTTGCCTGAGGGTTTCAGCCCCGGGCAAGTTCACTGTGGATTCAGTGAGACTGAGAAATGACAATGGAATGTTCTTGGGGTAAAAGGATTTATACCCAGCTTTATTCTCCTAGTGGTAGGTTGAGCACTGGAATCACATCTGTATCCAGCAGGTCCATAATCCACCTCCATCTCTGCATCTGCCCAGAGTACTGGGTGGAGATCTTTATATAGTGTCTCAATCAATAATTACTTATTGCATATGGGTGTGGAAGCAGTAGCCTAGCAGGCCAGTTACATCATCAGGTAGTTTAGGGGCAGGTGGGGATCCTGGCCACAGGAACTTCCATTTTCTCCACAGATGGTCAGACTTGGAGGTGCTGTTGGCATCTGGTAGGTAGAGACCAGGGAGACTGCTCAACATCCTGTAATATACAGGACAGCCCCCATGGCAAAGAATTATCTGTCCCCAAAGTGTCAGCAACACGGAGGTTGAGAAAACCTGGTCTAAACTAGTGTTTTCAAAACTTCCTGTGATAAGATTTACTCAGGATCTTTGTTAATATAATCAGTTTTCCAGACCTGCCAACCCCCACCCCCTCATCACCCCTGAGATTCTTACTCACTGGTTCTAGAATAGGGTCTTCAATAAGAGCCCCAGAGGATTCCCATTAGGGAAATTTGGGCAAATGCTCTTAATTCATCTCAGATCAGTGGAAAAACAGAATTATGCTTTGTTTAAGGCAGTGGTTCTCGAACTGGGGCTTGCGTCAGAATCACCTGGAGAGCTTGTTAACATGGTCTGCTGGGTACCACCTCCAGTGTTTCTGATTTGTCAGGTCTACTGTGGGTCCCAGGACTTTGCATTTCTAACACATTCCCAAGGGATGCTGATGGACTGGTGTGGGAGCCTGACTCTGAGAACTTAAGGGGTTCCTTCTCCCGCAGGTGGGGATGCTTCCATCATCCCAATGCTTGAGTTTGAAGATCAGCCTTGCTTTCCTGTCAGTAGAGAATGGGCCAGTGACCCATCAGAAGCCAGTGGTAACCTGGAAACTCCTGAAAATAAAAGGAAATATGAAGACCTGGACAGTACTGTGACCAAAAAGATGAGGTTTGAGCCCGGGGCTCCTGATGGTATGGCTCACCATCAGAGTTTTGGCAGTCAGAGAAGCGGCCCAGTCCCACCACGTGTCAGCAGCTCCAATCTCACTGCAGAGGAATTGGCTGCTGTCACCAGAAAGGCCCCCAATGGTGCCAAAGTGGTGGACGTCTACAGAACTGGAGCCAAGTGTGTGCCTGGAGAAGCCGGAGACTCCGGGAGGCCTGGGGCTGCATATCACCAGGTGGGGCTGCTCCGAGTGAAGCCAGGCCGGGGAGACAGGACTCGCTCCATGTCCTGCAGTGACAAGTTGGCACGGTGGAATGTCCTCGGATGCCAAGGGGCACTGTTGATGCACTTCCTGGAAGAGCCCATCTACCTGTCAGCTGTGGTCATTGGGCAGTGCCCGTACAGCCAGGAGGCCATGCAGAGGGCACTGACAGGGAGGTGAGCGGGCAGGGAGGGAGGGCTCCACGGCACAGCCTGCTGAGAAGCAGTCTGAGGGATGCCCAGCAAGCCTTAAAAATAGCCATACATTTTGATCCAGTACTTCCATTTCCAGGAATTTGCTCTAAGGAAATAGTTAAGAAAGTGCTCAAAATTCAGCTTTGTGTGTGGTCATTTTACAAAAAGAAAAAGAAACCATTCTTTAATGGCTACCAATAAGAAGTGACTTTTCTTAAAACTAATATTGATGCATTTTTAACATAGAAAGATGCTCATAATTTTTAAAGAGCAATCTAGAAGATAGTGTGAGTTCATTTTGGTCTTAAAGTATATATGCACCCAAAAAATGTCAGAGAATATACACCAGGATATTAATACAGTTGGTTACCTTTGAGTGCTGGTATTATGGGCATCTTTTTCTTCTTTGTGATTTCTGTTTTCTTATGTTTCCATAGTGTACATATGTTGCTGTCACAATTTTTTAAAACCCTGTTAATTCCTTAAAATAAAAGACAGGATGACCATTCAAGGAGGGTTTCCCTAAGGAAGGACAGCTAAAGGCAATTAATTCTGTAGTAACTGAAGGTAGGATGAAGCCATGGCCAGGGGAAGCCTGTGACCCTGTGTCAAATGTCCCACCCTGAGGCCAGCTCCAGGAAGCAGCCTCAGGATCTGACCACTTATTCCACTCCTGTGTACATACCCAAGAAAAATGAAAACATACATCCACACCAAAACTTGTATATGAATGTTCGTAGCAGCATTAGTCACAGTAGCCAAAAAGTCAAACAACCCAAATGTCCATCAGCTGATGGATGCAAAAACAAAAGGCAGAAGATCCAAACGGTGGAATATTACTCAGCCACAAAAAGGAGTGAACCTTGAAAACCTTATGCAAAGTGAGAAAAGCCACACAGTGTATGATTTCATGTAGTGAAATGCCTAGAATAGGCAAATCCATAGACATGGAAAGTAGATTTGTGGGTGTCAGTGGCTGAAGAAGGGGATAGGGAATGACTGGTAATAGGGGCAGGGTTTCTTATCAGGATGATGAAAACTTACAAACTTGGATTGTGGTGAGAGTTGCATAATTCTGTGAAAATATGTAAAAAGGGATTGAATTAATATACTTCAAATGGGTAGATTTTATAGTATATAAACTACATCCCAAGATGTTAAAAAAAAATACCCTAAGGCACTGTGCCCAAGATGTTTTCTGTGTTCTATATGCTTTCCCTACTCTGAGATTTTAAGCTGTTGTCTGCTCAGTTCTAGACCAGTGTCTTGTTGGCATCTAGCTTGGCATCATGTGTGAAAGACACGAGAGAAAAAAATGAAGCTTTTATCCTTAAGGGATGATTTTGGTTTCTGGTGTGTTTGAAGGATTCCCCAGGAAGCAGATGCCAACAAGTTAATATTTCTGCTTAAGGTTTTCAGATCTTTGAAAGCCAGTACCAGGAATGGAGTTGGTGTTTCTAAAATCACCAAGGGGTGGTGACTCAATTCATAGTTACCATTCCAGAGTGATGGGAAAGGATCTTTCTCCAGCCATAAGGTTCATATGATCTAGATTCTGTTCTGTCACACCCTCCTGTGCCCCCTGCCCATAAATAAATAAACAAATAAATAAACCCACACATCTAAGGCCTTTGCCTCACACCAACACTTGTATGGTGATATGGTCCATAATCCTAGGTACTCTTCTTGAGGAGCACATCTAAATCGAATTCATTTTTCCTCACATTTAGGTGTCAGGACGTCTCACCTTTACCCAAAGGCTTTGGAGTTCAAGAAGTGAAAATACAGCAGTCAGATTTACTATTTGAACAGAGCCGCTGTGCATTGCAGGCAAAAAGGGCTGACAGCCCAGGCCGACTTGTTCCTTGTGGGGCAGGTAAGGGATCCAGGTTCTACTTGCCCTGGGGTAACTTGTCCCCAGACCACGAAGTAGCCTGGGAGGGGCTGCATCCTCCCAGCCTGGGGAGGCCGTTTGCCACCTGAGTCAATAGTGTGGACTTGGGGGACACCAACACTGGGTCAAGTTCATCCTCTGTATGACCCTGGGCAACTGATTAATCCTCTCTTAGCCTCAGTTTCTTCATCTTCAGACAAGAATATCATTTATCAGTTGTAAAGAGGATTAAATTAGTAAGTAATTCCGTTTCATACATTTACTATGTGTCCAGCATATAATAAATGCTCAACTATTGTTACCTACTTTAATGCTGCTGCTGATGAATCATGAGTTACTTTATACTGTTGTACTCTGGAGGCCAAGCCTCAGAGTGGCAGCCATTGTCTTGGATGCTACATCCAGCTCTCACGGGTCTGCAGAGGCAGGCAAATCATTTTATTAAAACACCTTTGACATTTATAGAAAACTGAACAGTCTTATCTCTTCACAGCCATCAGCTGGAGCGCAGTTCCTGAGCAGCCATTGGACGTCACTGCCAACGGCTTTCCACAGGGAACAACGAAGAAAGGAATCGGACACCTTCAGGCCAGGTACACGTACTGGGGCAGAAGGCGGTGGTGTCCGTGCACTCGCACTTTACCGCTCTCTAACTCCAGAACGTTTTCATAACCCCATAAAGAAACCCCACTCCCATTAGCAGTCTCCCCATCCCCTTCTTCAGCCCCTGGCATCCACAAATCTACTTTCTGTCTCTGTGGATTTGCCTATTCTGGACATTTCACTACATGAAATCATACAATATGTGGCTTCTTTCACTTAGCATGACGTTTTCAAGGTTCCTCTGTGTTTTAGCATGTATCAGTACTTCACCTCTGTATATCTACATGGATATACTAGCTTTTGTTTATCCATTCTTCCATTGATGGACATTTGGGTTATTTCATTTTTGGCTGTTGTAAATACTGCTGCTGTGAGCATTTATATACAAGCTTTTGAGCAGACATATGTTTTCCTATCTCTCATATACCCAAGAGTGAAATTGCTGGGTCATATGACTAACTTTTATTTTTTGAGGAACTGCCACACTGTTTTCCATATCAGCAGCACCATTTTAAACTCCCACCAGCAATGTATGTGAGTTTCAATTATCCTATATCCTTTATAATACTTGTTATTGTCTGTCTTTTTTATTGTAGCCATTCTAATGGGTGTGAAGTGCTATCTCATTATGCTTTTGATGTGCATTTCCTTAATAACTGTTAGAACATGTACTTATTTGCCGTTTATACTTCTTACATCTATTCTGAATCCTTTGTCCACTTTTTAAAAATTGTTTTACTTACCTTTTTATTGTTGAATTACAAGATATCTTTATTCTGGGTACTTTATCAGATACATATTTGCAGATATTTTCTCCAATTCTGTGTGTTGTCCCTTCACTTTTTGAATGTGTCCTTTAAAACACAGAAGTTTTAAATTTTGATGAAGTCTATTTTATCTGGCTTTTAAAACCACCAAAGGTGCTTTTAGTATCATCATATGTAAGAAACCATTGCCTAATCCAAAGTCACAAAAAATTAATTTTCTTCTCATAGTTTTAGCTCTTATGTTTAGGACTTGGACCCATTTTGAGTTAATTTTTCTATAAGGTGTGAGGTAGAGGTCCAACTTCATTCTTTTGCATGTGGATACCCAGTTCCCCTAACACCATTTTTTTTTTAAAGACTCTTCTTTCCCCTGGAAGATTTTGAAAAGAACACTTTCTTGGCCTTTACCTCCAGGTATTTTGGTTTAGTAGGTCAAGGTTGGAACCTGGTTTAGCAGGTCAGGAATCATTTATGAAACTCCACAGTGACTGGATTGGCAGAAAGGGCACTGTGGAAACAGGACTTTGTATCTGCAAACTGGCTTTTACTGAAATGCAGAGCAAGTGATCTGCTGGACGTGAGACTCCGATCTCATCCTTCCACGTTTGGAGGTGCATGCACCTGCCTTACTGGTTCATCTCTTGCCGACTGCCCAGCCAGTCTCCCCCTCCCCGCTCTCCCTCCCGGGGAGCCGCAGGTGGTCTACAGCAGCCTGGGGTGGAGGGGCTGTGGGAGAGTGCCCTCACGCCAGAGGCATTTCCATCCCAGGTAGACAGAGCTGCCACTGAGGGACCGTTGTAGGACTCCCGTCCTTTACGGGTAGTCTCTCTTCACTCTAAGCTGCCTTTCCTTTTTATGTAAAGTTGTCTTGTAATTAAAGTTCATAGGTGTTTCTTTTCTTTGTGTCGTTTGTTTCTCACGGCCACTCACCAGGGTTCAGACAGCCTAGACAGCCCTAGACCACAAACCCGGCCTGTCTCCTGATGGCCTAGGTTGTTGAACTGAGTAATATTTACAAAACTGTTGAGGGGGTGGAGATCTTTGGACCAGTTTTTCCCCTGGGTCTCCTGGCTTTGGGACACTGCTTGTGTTTGTTATGGGACCGGATCTTAGCACAGGCCAGGATGTGTGATCAAAGCAGGTCGCGAAGCACAGAAACCACATTTCCTGCTGAGCTCTGTTTCTGCTGTCAGTGACAGGCTGACAGCAACTCTTACACTGGCCCCACCCACCTGATGCGGCTTCGGTTCACTGCTGCGCTTTGGTCTAAATGCGCTTCTTCACCGTGCATCTACAGCCCTCTTTTACTTTACAAGCTCAGGTCGGCTACCACTGCATTCCGGCTCACACTTGCCATCTTTTCCAGTTCCTAAAGCGCTGTCTCCAGCTTGCCATTGACTGCGAGTGCCTCGTGTTCTCACCCTCGCTCAGTCTCCAGCTAACTGGGCGACTGGGAACGAGTCCGTTGCTCTCTGAGCCTAAGTGTGTTTATATCTGTAAAACTAGGATATTGGAGATATTGGAGTAAATGATCTGAGGTCTCTGACGTGCTGTGGATATCACTCCTTTTAGAAGGCGAACTCCATACAGGAATAGAGTGTGTGGTGGGAAAAGTAGAAGCTTTGCAGTTCAAGAGATGGATATTTAATTCCTGGCTCCTTTCCTCCCCAGTTGGTGAACTTGGGCAAATTACTTTATCTCTCTGAGCCTCCTTTCCCCAATGATAAATCAAGGGTAACTAAGAGTGTCTGTCACACAGGAATGTCATAAGAAGTAAGTGAGAGAAAGTGCCTCTCTCATGGTACAGAGCTTGTAGTAGACATCTGTTAAGATTGATTCCCCCCGCAGTCATCAAATGAAGCTGCTTCATATTATGTGTGAGTCAGAGTTACTTTTATTCAAAAGACTAGTTGCTGCTGGGGAGAAAGCAGGTTTTCTCACTGCTCATACCTGAGTGCTGGCATCCTGGGACCATCTTTTTAGAACTATGGGGAATGTGAACTCAGACTGATGGCAGAGACATTTAATGTACTTGGTGCAGCACTAGAAGGAAGTATTTTATTTAAATCTTTGTATTTTCTATAGAAAATGTGATAATAACAGGAACCAGATAAAGGACCCTTATTTCCAAGAAGCTTAATTTTCCTCTTTGCCCTAAAGTGGCAAATTCTTTTTAAATTCTCCTTGCCCTAAAGAGACAAGTTCTCTTTCCCATCCCAGGGGAAATACCAAAGCATCCTGGAGAGATCTTATTACATGGCTCATTGGATTATAAAAGAAAAGGGTGAGGGGTCTTTAAAAAAAATCTATGTGTCTAAGTATGTTAAAGATAGGGTTAGTTTGAAAATAACAATGTGAATATGTAATCTTTAAACGATTATCTATGTGGAGCTTTCCTAGCTCTTTGAAGCACCAAGCAGCAGTTAACCAATCCCCAGGAAGAATCCAGTGTTCTTCCTTTTAGCTAAAAGGAAGCAGGGCTCCCTGCAGAGCAGCAGAGGGCAGTGCCAGGGAGACTGCTGTGCTCCGCAGGGGCAGCGCTGTTGAGCAGCAGGTCTCTGACAGAGGAATCACTAGTATGATCACCTTTCTGCTGTTGAGAAAATCTTGAGAAAGATACTACCCCTCTGGAGGGAGCTCTTCTCCAGCTGAGGAGAGGTTTCCAGCATTCCCAGCCTATCTTTATAGATATAATAATGCCTTAACACTACTTATGAGGTGACTTAGACCAAAAACATTCTTAGAGAAAGTGCCAGTTGGTTCTCCAGAGGGAAGAATATTGAAAACATTGACAGATCTGATCTCAAGAAGCTGCGAAGCTCTCTAGCACTGATGGCTGCTGTCAGTGACACTGGAGGCCTTGACATTTCACCACAATACTGGTGGTAAATAGTGTCCAGTCGGGCTCCTTCCAGTGAGTTTGAGTGGTGTGTTTCTTTAATGAGCTTTTCTTCAGGCTACAGACCATGACACGGTTGATTTGCTAAGGCTTCTTTGTCTTGTGAATGAAATGCCTTGACATACTTCATTAATGCTCTGTAATAATATAGCCAAATGTTCTCTTAGTACATTGGTGGCCACTGGGTTATAACAAAAGTCTTACGGACTCAGTATTTCAAAGGGAAATATGATAATCTGGGGCAGGATATTAGTTTATTTTTGATGTTCTGCCTTTGCTGATTCACAGAGCTGTGGGCAGCAGAAATGTTAACTCTGTAAAACTCTCTAGACTTCCTGTACAATAAGCATATGGTCCCGTCACCAAAATTGGCTGCAAAGTCCCAAATCTGGAGATGAACTCTTTGATTCTAGTTCATGGTGAACATGACACCTAGCATTCTCATCTACCTGAAAACCTACATACAGTAAAAAAATGACATATTTCAGTATTAGGTCTTCCAAACTAGGAATATGGTATATGGTATATCTCCCTCTCTCTATTGTTGATGCCAAGTTGGCGGTTGTGTCCCAAATTTATAACAAGCAATTTTAAGTTTTCACTTATTTGGGTCTTTTTACATATATTTTAATAAAGTTTTATTATTTTCTTCATATAAATCTTTCACATCTTTTATTAAATTTATTCCTTGAATGTTGTTCTTTAACAAATTTGTCTTTCCCTCTCCTAAGACTTAGTGGCTTAAAACAACAATTAACATCTATAATTTCACATAGACACTGTGGGTCAGGAATTTGGTTGGAGTTTAGTCAGGTCATTCTGACTCAGGGACTCCTGAGGATGCAGTTCATTATGTCAGACATTCATCTGAAGGCTTGACTGGGGCTGGAGGATCTGACTCCGAAGTAGCATGCTCACAGCTGACCAGTCGGTGATGGCTGTTGGCAGGAGGCCTCAGTTCCTCACAGCTTGGATCTCTCCCTAAGGCGACGAGTCTTCATCATCACAATACAGTGGCTGCCTTCCCCAGAACAAGTGATCCCAGAAAGCAAGGCAGAAGCCAGTTGTCTTTATGACCTGGTCCCAGAAGTCACGCAGCATCTGTGATCTCCTGATGATTACATGGGTCAGCCCTATGCAGCGTGGCAGGGGATTACACAGGAGCATGAATTCTAGAAGGCAAGAATCACTATCTTGGAGGTCGGCTACCATAGATGCTATTTAAGTAATTTCCTTTTATTTCACTTTCTGGTCATTGCTGTTGCAATCAATTTTTTGTTTCTCTGTGTTTCAGTTAATGCTTATATCCAGCAGTCCCCTAATTCTTGTTATTCTACTAATTTACCTGGGAATTCTTTTGCATTTTTTTAATGTGGACAGTCTTTGAAAATAATATTTCCTCTCCAATCCCTCATTGCTTTTTCTTTTTCTTGACTTACTGTCAATATCAGTTAGAACTGACAATATCACAATCAGATGCAAATAATGACTTTTGGTTTTTGCTTTTCACTCCTTATTCCTTTTATTTCTTGTCTTATTGGCCAGAACCTTCTGTCTAACATTGGATAAAAGCAATGGTAGCAAAACACTTGTCTTAGCCCTGATTTTAAGGATATATATTTGCTATCCTTTTGAATTTAAGCACTATCTTTCCTAGTCCTAGTTTGCTAAAAGTTTTTAAATCATTTAGTAGATGTTGTACTCTAACAAATGCTTATCTGCATGCTTTTTCCTCATATTTATATCACTTTCCTCCTTTAATCTGTTAATGAGTTCCATTAGTTTTTGGCTTTGGACTGTTTGTTTTTTAGTTCTTTGGCTTTGGGTGTTTGTTAGTTTAATGTTAAAGCAGCCTTATATTCCTGAGTGCCAGCAGCCACTCTAGCACATTGAAGTCCCAGGGAGAGTGGCATGTGAGGGCTCAGGGTCCCCTTTTAAGCAGTGATTTCTGCAGGTTTTAGGTCCCAGCCTAGGTAAGAGCGCTTTGGGCACACTGTACAATCTCCACCTCATATACACCAGTTACGACCACAGTGCCTGAGCTGATGGTACAGTTGGTGAAGACGCAGTGTGTAAAGATGGGACTGCACATTGCTGGCACACATAACAGTTTCCAACCTCTGGTCAGCTCATGAGCTGCGTATATGAAGGAAAGGAAGGAGGCACGTGGAATCTAGATCACAGTGCTTGGACGGGCAAAGCCAAGAAGGCCCAGGTGGGCTGGTAAGGAACTCACTTCTTCCACTACAAACTCTGCTCTCCATGAAGCTTGGTGTTAGAAGTAAAGGACTGACCTCCAAAGCATCCCATTGTCCATAGGGACTGTGTTCATGCTCAGGAAAGACCTGAGAAAGCCCTAAGCCCTCACTTTTGGCTGACTGTGAGGCTCTGCAGAAGCAGGAAGTGAAGACTGAGGCAAGGTTGCGAACTTCCTGACTAAGTGTCGAAGGCGTGCCCTAACACACAAACAAAACCCTGCTGCAAAGGTCTGGTTTGGTTCTAGGCTTGGAAGGAAATCTCTATCCATAGTCTGGAGATTCTGCCTCTTTTAACACTCAAGTCTCTGCAACAAAGCTTTCATGTCCCGGAAGTGATATTCCCACAGGGGCCATCTCTCCTGAAAGGAGGTAGCCAGACATTGCTGAAAGGTGTCCTGGGTGGAGGTGGGGGTTAGTAATTCTACCTCTGACTTTACCCCATAAAGCCTGTCACCTTGATGATTTCACTGATGGTATTAAAGATGAGGTTCCTTTTTGTACTTAACCCTAATCAGACACTGAAATCTAGTTTTTTTCTTCTTTACAAGTACAGGTGAAAATGGGGGATATGGCACATTCAAAACTAAAAAGATACCATATCTTTTTATACCAAGGTACACAAAGATACCAAGCCTGGTATCTTTGATAGGAGCCTGGTACATAGTAAACAGTTAATAAATCCTCTTTGTCTTCTTTTTCCAAACAGATCGCGAATCAGCAAAGTGGAACTCTTTAGATCATTCCAGAAGCTGCTAAGCAGTATTTCAGAGGACAAATGGCCAGACACACTCAGGTGACACCATTGACCCATGTCATTTCATATTTAGGAAGACCTGTGAGTTAATTCTGGCTTAGGAATGGTAGGAAACGTTGGCAGGAGCGGTGGTTCCCTAGGCCAGTGGGCCTTCATTACTGACTCCACGCTTTGTATTCTCATGGCCCTGATCACAGATACGTCTGTGAGGTGTGGAGGGAGGTAGTTTGGTGGTACAGCCACGAGAGACTAAGGGCAGAATTGGGTCTTGGCCCATTCTCGGCCCTCCCTCATTCCACCTCTACATGGAGAGTGTGGGAAATATGGGTGCTTGAGGAGCAATATATTTTGTTTCTCTCTGCTCTTTTTCCTTTGTTCACATGGGTGGTTGTGAACTGCAGCTCTACAATCTAAATCACTCTCCAAACAGGAACATAGAAAACTAAAAAACTACTTCAGAGGTAGGTGTGAGTGCAGTTCAGACACTGGCTACCCAGAATTAGGCAAACTTCACAGATTGAGAGCACAGTTCCTACAAACTGCCCCACTTCAGACACTAGCCGCAGTCAGAGACCCGCAAGCTACTCACGGTTCTGACCAGCTGACTACAAACTTGGGGATTCCCACTGTCCCCTCAGGTTAGATAATTCAATAGAACAACTCAGAGAATTCAAGAAAGCACTATGCTCACAATTACCTTTTATCGTAAAGGATACAAATCAGGAAGCAGCTAAAAGAAGGGACCCAGAGCAAAGTCTGGGAGGATCCCAAACACAGTGCCATCGCCATTCCTGTACAGCACTGTGGTCACCAACCAGGAAGCCGGGGCTTCCCCATCGGAGCTTTACTGGGGCTTCATTACCTAAGTGCGAGGGAATCGTTGATCACATGGTGTGATTGAACTCAGTCTCTGAGCCCCCCAGGAGGTCAGACTGACATCAGGTAGCTCAAAGCCCCAACCCTCTAACCTTGGAGTGAGTCTTGCTGTCAAGACCAGCCCCATCCCGAAACTATCCAGGGCCCCCCTCATTAGGCATCTCATTAAGCATTAAACTCGGGTGTGACCTGAGGGGTCTATTATGAATAACAAAGCCATTCCTATCACTTGGAAAGTTCTAAGTTTAGAGCTCCCCTCCCAGGAACTGGCAACAAAGACCAGCCACATCCCTTCACTTGCAACGTGGGGAAGCTAAAGAATAGGAGGAGCCTCCCAGCCGAGGGAGCCAGCCCCCTGCACCCCGCAGGTGTGTCGGTGCCCTCCAGGCATCTGTGCTCCCTTTGCTTGTTTCTTGTCTGGGAAAATGAATCAGACTGACAGATGGATTTCCATATATTCTCTGTGTCTATAAAATAAGTCTGGCCTTAGGTCAGGAGAGAGTGTATTCAGAAGGATTATTGTGATAAGGGAAGGAGCTGCTGCAATAGAGGAGGACTAATGTGAAGCAAGAATGCTCCAGTCCTAAAATCTGTAAGCCTCTCAAACGGCAGGTGGAAAGGAATTTTCCTTTATAGGGAGCGGTGTACAAGGCTGGAAAGAACCAGGAACAGGTGTGCAGGTGGTATGATGGGAACAAGTGAGAAGGAATGCCTTTTCTTGTGGCCAGGGGACTCTCAGGAGGCTGTCCAGAAGGGATCGTTACACACTGATGCTGGCTCAGGCTGAGGGGGGGTCAAAGTTCAGGGACCTGGGGGAAGGAGAGAAGCATAACTAATTTTGGTGAAGGTAGCAGGGATTCGGTGGAGATTGTGTGGGTACAGGCAGTTCAAGTCATCATTATGAGACAATGGGAGTTTGGAGGATCTGTCTGGCCTTGTCACAGGTAAACCAGGGGGACATCCATGAGTCTTATCTGAGTCTTATAGGGAAGAGACCTCTTTGCAGTAAGCTATTTCCCAGAACACAAGGGTGGGCAGGAGATTTCTTAACCATACTGTTTTCTAGGAATATGGGGCTCAGATAAAGCTTAGCCTTGTCTTGTGTGTGGATCCCACACATTAACCCATAAAAAGCTGTAGAAATTGATCAACAACTGAAACCAGTGTTTGCTGTAACAAGCAGCTTTGCTCTGTGCTAAAGTGAGCTAAGAAACAATGTGTGTTTCCTCAGATCTTGGCCAAAAAATGAAAGAGTAGAAGCAGGACAAAACTGAATCAATACGACATGATTATCAGTCTCCTCGATTATAAGACGGCAAGGACAGGGCTAAAGGTCAGGGCAGAGACGCAAAGATGGCTCAGAGGAGCCGGACCCAAGTTTGATCAAAGGAAAGAATCTTCATCAGAAAAAAATATTTTAACTGGGAATAAGTATTAAAATATTGCTCAGCATGTCAGCCATTCTTCAGCAGTCCGAGACCATGGAGGGATTCGGAAAGGGGTGTTGGCTGGCACTACACAGGAGGATATGCATAATGGAAAGTGGTTTGGGAATGTGCACCCAAGAAATTTCTAATGGCTAGATCCTCAGGTGGAAGTTATAGATGATGAGAAAACTGTAAACCAAACAGTAGTCTCTTGTTTATCTGATTCCACCAGGACCAGACAAAAGTAGCATTCTGTTTATTCTTACCTGCTGTAGTCCATGTTGCTGTCTAGTGAATATCCTACAAGGAGACCAAGTTGCTCTAAGAAAGCAGAGCAGATTCCTCCCATTCCTAAGTCTCCTGGTATAAATCTGTCCAGTTGATCGCTCAGGTATCTTGCTGGCCATAGGGCTGAGCTGTCTGGTGAGAACCCATGTGCCTGGTGGTGTGTGTATGTTAGGTTGCAGAAGCTGGAGACATACCAGGAGTACAAGGAGGCTGCGTCTGCTTACCAGGAGGCCTGGAACGTACTCCGGAAGCAGGCCTTTGGATCCTGGATCAGAAATCCACCAGAATATCACCAGTTTAAATGAGAAGGGAAAACTTGTGAAGAGCTTACTGTAGCAGAGTTTCCCACCATTCATACTGGATTGCTGCTTCCTTTGTGCTGGACAAAGCTTAGCTTTCCTTCCAGCTGAGTCAGGAAAAAAGTTCGCCATCTACCAGAGAGACACATCTCTTCTGTGTAATATGAACGGAATTCTGGAACATGGGACATCTGTACTTAAAGAAGCTCTATGCTAAAATGGCATCTTGCTGATGACCTTGCTATCTGTCCTAACTTGTGTTTTATTGCTATTCTAAAACATGGAATAAGAATTTGGAATATGATGCTTTAAAAGCACTCTGTAGTAGCTCCATTTTGTGTGGTTCTATGATGATTCAGCTAGTATTTATTGGGCTGAGATGGTGTTTGAATCCACAGGTTTCAGAGCTTCACCTGGCAGCATGGACATACCATTTTATATGCCCAGGCTTTCTTCCTGCAGAGAGCTCCCCTTTCCTGCCCTATCCATGGGACCTGGATAAAGCAAACTTTACTCCATGGAATGTGAACCAGCCCTGCAGCTATTGGCAGATGCAGCAGGAAAGATCATCTCTCCCTGTGTATCAGGAGCTGACTCTTGGGACTGCCAGGGGCTGCCTTTGCCACCACGGAGACAGCCCGCTTGAGAATGAAGGCAGTAAGGAAGGAAACCGCCAAGGGAATCAAAGCTCTAGTGACCTTGCTTGGATTTCGGAAGCCTCTGGCCCACACTGGACTTCAATATGTGAGATAAGTTCATATTGGTGTTTCAAGCACGCCTGTTTGAGTAGGTTTTCTATGACTTTGAACTGAAAGAGTTCTGTCCAAAAGTCCCTGTTGGAAATCAGCAACAGACCTAACAACCAACCTGTTTTAACAGACATCTAATATTTAACTGCCAACCTCTTCACACCTCAAATTATTGACTGAAAGTGGAAATTCTCCATGCTGGGATTACTCAAGGTCCTTGTCGGCTCTTGAGAATTTTTGTATAACTTTAAATATATTTTAATAGCAGTTTTATTGAGATATGGTTCATATAACCATAAAATACACCCACTTAAAATGTACGATTTAGTGGTTTTTTAGTATGTCAACAGAGTTGTGCAACCATCACAGATCAATTTTAGAATATTTTTTGTTCCAAATGGGGGGAACATTATTCAACCCAGTATGGTACCATTAGCCCCCACTTCCAGTTCCCCTCAACCCTCCTGGTTCTAGGGCAACCAAAAATCTACTTTCTGCCTCTATGGATTTGCCTATTCTGAACAATTCATATAAATGGAATAGGTGGTGTTCCTGGCTTCTTTCTGTGACTGGCTTCTTTGACTTAGCGTGTTTTTAAGATTCTTGATGTCATAGCATGAATTAGCACTTTATTCCTTTTATGGAATAAAAACAAATCAATTTATGGATGTATTATGTCTTGTTTAATCATCAGGTGATGGACATTTAGGTTGATTCCATTTTTTGGCTACTGCAGATAGTGCTACTCTGAACATGTGTGTACAAGTTTGTGTGTGAGCATGCGTTCTTAAATTTTTTTGCCTACAGAAGTAATACATGTTTGTCCTAACAAATTATTCTTGAATTTTTTTCCATCAGAAATCCTTTTAGATAGCAGGAAAGCAAGGAAGACAAAAACACCACTACCCAAAGGCCAGGCTCTCCCATATGTTGCTTTGACCAGAGGGAGTCTTTTGTCTGACCCCAAATCCCATGTTTGTGCAGGAACTTTTATCTACAGAAGACTGTAGATCTCTGTCGCATGATATTCTATTTTAAAGGATAAAGATTCATATGAGAATGTAAGGGGGTAATGTCTTTTTATTCCTAAATTTTATGGCAAATTTATCAAATTTGCACCAAAAATAAAAAAGAAAAATCCTAAATTTAGATTTCAGAACAGACTGGGAAAACCTGGGAGGCCAGAGATGAGAGGCAGCCTCCCTTAAGCTTCTGCCTGTTTCCTTAAGAGCTAAACATGGTGCTTAGACATTCTACCTAAATCTCTTAAATCCTTATAATTTCACCTATGCCTCAAAGTCACATCTCTGAAATATTGGCAGGTTCTCAAATTTCATATATTTAATTAGATCACGTGTTTTACTACATTTTCTTAACCCATATTTGGCTAGTAACTCCTAATTTTTAAACACATTTTCTTTTATTTTTTAACTTGTTGCAGAAATTTTCAAATAGACACAAAAATAAAATAGTACAGTGGACCCCCATGAACCCGGACTTCACAACCATCAGCTTTATGCTGTCATCCAATCTATTCCCCCTCCCTCCAATTTCTTTTCCCTTGGAGCATTCTAAAGCAAATCCTAACCAGCATATGTCACCAAACAAAATTAATAACTCCTTAATGTCTATTATGCAGTCTGTGGCTGGGTTTCCCCTGTTGTCTCAACAATGCCTTTGACTACTGATTTGTTCAGTTAGGATCCAAAGTCTACACAATGCATTTGATTGGTTTGGGCTTTGTCTCTCTTCTGCGTCACTGAATCTGTAACAGCCCACCTGCCCTTTTTATGTGTAACAAATGGGTCATTTAGCCAGTAGAATACCCCACATTCTGGATTTTGCCACTTATTCCCTCCCACTGTTGATAACACGTTCCTTTGTCTCCCACATTTCCTACAACTTTGCAGCCACATGAAGAGGCTTGATTAGATTTAGGTTCAATTCGTTTGACTCAAATATTTCCTGGGTGACTACATATACTTCTATTGCATAATATCAAGAGGAACATAACATCTGGTTCTCCTACTTTCAGTGATTGAGTGATGGGTTCATTGGTATCAGCCCAATCTAACCCATTATGATTTTCACCATTACCCTTTTACCTGGTGATAAAAACCTGGGTCAGACCATCCTCAGGTTTGATGATTCACTGGACAGACTCAGAACTCAGAAAATCTGTTATTTTCATAGTTATAGTTTATTACAGTGAAAAGATGCAGTCAGCAAAGGAAAAGCCCATGGGCAAAGTCCAGGAGAAAACAGGTGCAAGCCTACTAGTTGTCCTTTCTGTTTTAACCATGTGCCTCTAATGCTTTGACATCTGGGGCCTTGCTGACTTGGAGAGACTGCTCCCCACCCAGGGCTCGCCGACTCCTGGAGTGAGTAAAAGGCTCTTCGGTCAGTGCACCTTTTATACACACACCAACCAGACCCCTACTCCCACCACTCTCTCGATGGGGCTCTCGCACCCTGGGCCACTATCCGCCTGCCCGAATCACCCCAGGGCCAAGAACCAGAAAACTAGGGATGGCCCCACGTGCCTCAGAGCCCACTGAAATCAGTTAAACTAGCCAATCCCATGCCTGTCTACCCTGCCCCGCACCTTCACCCCACTTCATAGTAATGGCTCCTGCCCATGTGGCGTCCTTGCTTCCTCTGCCTCCTGACCAACCCTGGCTTCTCCATGTGGTTCCTTGGGGCATGGCACCCCCCCTCCTACATTTTAAAACACTCTCCCAGTGGAGTCGGACACCCAGCACTTAATTCCCCCAGCACTTTTGAAGAAGTTGTGTAAAGTATTTATATGATTACAAAGTTAAAATTAGTTTGAAAAAAAAAGGTACATTCAGAGAGGTCTTCCTCTTCCCCTCCTGTTTTCCCCATTCCCAGCAGGAACCATTTTTATCAGTTGTTGGTGGATGCTTCCTTCTTTCCTTCTGAAATACTCTGTAAATAGCCAATATACAATATTTTGTTTCTGCATATGGATCTTTTGCATAGATTCTTAAAAGTGGAAATTGCTGGGTCAAAGGGTAAATGAGCATAGTTTTTCTTTATTGAAATACATTTTCAACATTCTGTTTCTAAATACAATGAGTGCAGAAAAACAAAATATAAGAGAACATTGTAGCATTCTGTTTCTATAAAAAATAAGGGTGAAAGGTATATATCTACTTTTTTTGTAAATACTAAACTAGATACACAAGAAACCAGCAACACAGGGCTGACAGGGAGGGAGAGGGATGCCTAGGGCCCAGGAGTAGGAGAGTGGCTTTTCACTGAATACCCTTTATAATTTTTATTTTTAAAATGTTGAACCATATCGGAGATTGGATTAAAGATGGCAGTGTGATATGTGAGACAGGAGCTTCCTCCTTAAACCACATATAATACAAAAATATAATTAATACAACTAATCCTGAAAGAGCAACAGGAAAGAGGGCTGCGTCACACTGCATACACCTGGAGAACAGAATAAATCTCATGAAACAGGGCACCAACACCACTCCCCTGTGACCCCCGACATTGCTCCAGGGGCTGAGCAGCTCCAAAGAGTAGAGCTTCTGGGCACTAGAGGGCACCACATACAAATATGAAAC